ATCTCCTGGTCTGTTCGCTGAGGTATGCACCGTACACTGGTTCCGGCGCCGGTTCGCGAGCGGAACCGTCAGCGAAAGTAGGCCGTGTTCTTTGCTGATGCCAGCCGCAGGCTGGTGCACATGCCCTGCGCTCGGTGCCAGTTGCTCTGTGCACATTGGTCGTTGTTGTTGAGCTTCTGATCTCCCAACTCCGAACTCCGGTGGTGTGATGGGTGAGGACGGGCTGGATGATGTGATGTTCTCCTCTGCCCGTCGTGCTTTCCGTTCCGCGTGACCCCCTTCCCTTCCGCACCAACTTGTCCACTTTATTGTCCTTGGGTCGGTCTACTGCCGTGTCTGCTGTGTCATGCTCCTGCTCATGCATACTTCTGTACGTACAAGGCCTGCTGCAAACCCTGCCCAANCTAGTGTACGAATTGCTTATCGGTCGTCTTTCTCTCTCTTGGTACATTGTATATGGTCGTACTTCAGGTTTCGACTTCTTACTCGTGGGCAGCACCAGCCATGCGGGTTGTCATTTCGCCTCGACCGGGGGGAAAAAAGGGTGCCGTATGCATCCTATGTATGTCTGCTGCATGCGTGCGTTGTCGTGATTGGTGATCTTGTGACGTGCTATTTCTTGCGGCGTGGTTGATGGTTCATTTTGTTCGGCCACGTTTGTCGCGTGGGAGCAAGCGGTGGAGTGCTGGGCAGTGCATCAGTGTTTTTTTTCCATTTCTGGGAAGACCTGTGTTAATCGTTGTTCGTTTTGTGTGGGAGAGTCAAAATGTGTTTGCTCATCACTTCTATGTACGGGTGTCGTCGTCCTCGTTTCGCCGAACGCAAAGTCTGCCTCCCAGTCGGCCTGTGTCCTGTTGCCGTCTTGTGTTCGTTGATCGTCTTGGCCCATTCCTCCCTCCCTCTCTCCCTTTCTCGCACTATTCTTTTTCGCTACGCAAGAGCTGAAGCAGATGCTGAGAACCATCAAGAGCGGAAAGGGGTCGGTGCCGCTAAGAACGACAAGTCCCAGGAAGGAAGTGCCGTGAAGGCCCTCGAGAAGGGTAAGAACGCCTAGGCCAACGCGAAGACTGACGAAGAGAAGGTGATGGACGGCGATCGAATCCTTGTTCGTTGGTTTTGTTTTGTGTTCTTGTTACCTAAGGGCGATGGCGAACTCTTGCGTGTTTCTGAATTGATTTTTTTGCCTTATTTTGAAGGGTGACGATGACTTGTTTTGTGTGTTTCTGGTTTGCTTTCTGTGCCCTCTGTTGAGGGTGACTATGATTTGTTGTTTCTAGTCTGTACCTTTTTTTGCAGCCATGCTGCTGTGTCTCGAAGGCAGTCTTCAAGCATGCAGAAGCCCTTCTTGTACATGCAGGTGGTGGTTGCCGATTGCGTTACATGCAGGCGTGTTTCGAATACTTCTGCTGTAGACTACCGCAATGAGTCACCGCGGTGGAGATGCTCTGCAGTACTGCTATTGAACCGGGGGTCCCGCAGTATCGCACTACCCCTCCCATCCTTCGCCCCCCGCGAGTCCGCTTCTGTTTGTTTCCCCCCCCCCTTGTTTCGTTCAACACGTCGGTGGGTTGTTCGCTGACACGGACGGTACCAGTAGTTTTACTTGCTGCCGGGAGCATGGGGCAACACAGAAACGTTTCAATTCAAGGCCCGTCCTTTAACACAGCAGTGCACCCAACCGCCCAACCGGATGCCTAACTATTACAGGTGGCGGCGACGAAGGCTGGCGAGACTGCGAAGGCCACACGGAAAGCGGCGCAACAGGCTAAGCAGGAGGCGATGTACCTGTTTGCCAAGAACCCCAGCGCGGAGAGTGTGGAGGGGCGAATCAAGAACTGGGGCGACAAGATCAAGAAGCTTCAGGTAAAGCCGCCGCTGCTGCTGTTGCTGTAGCTCTTTCCGCTGTGGTGCATGTCATCCCCTCATGTTTTCATCCAGCATTCGGCGTTTTTGGCGAGTCCACAGCGAAACTAGAGCTGTAGGCTTGACTGAATGAGTACCGTTCGTTCGTGAGAGAGATAAGAGAGTCGAGATGAAGCACGTGCACGAAAAATGAAAAATATGTTTCGAAGTGGAATTCCACGTCTTTTGCAACACGTGCGTCGGATGTGGTATCGTGTTTGTTGTGCATCGTTCACTGCTTCACTTGTCGACCTTGAGTGCGTTTGGCACAGGCAATAGTCGTCGCAGCTTGAGTCAAGACACTCCTCGTTCCTGTGTTTTATGTCTCTCGCAGTTTCCCAGCCGCTCGGGAAAACTTCTGGTCGGTATAGACTTAACCAACATCATGTCGGAAGCCTGAGACTCAAGAGTTCAACCATGGTTGCACTCTAAAAGCAAGACTTTTTTTTTCGGTGCACCAGTTGGCGACCGCCTGGAGACTTTTTTTTCGCCGGCTGTTGCCCGCTGCAGCGGGTCAGTCTCTGGATCACAGCGCCCCTGTCGCGAGCTCGAAACTCCGAAGGCGAGCAGAGTTACAGCACGGCGGTGAAGTACGACTAAATCTCCTGCATCCGGGCGCGTCTGCGGTAGGGACTGTCACCTCAAAGAATCACGCAGCTCATTGGACGAGCTTGTGGAGAACGCCAACTCATAAACCATGACCGACCACCACGTTCAACCGTTGTTGTTACATGTAGTAGCACCGACGGCGGATTGTACTGTAATTGTGGGCGTGGTGTCGACTAGATATCGACAGACTGCTGCTGTCGTCACCTTCTCCACGTAAGCAATGCCAGCTGAAGTAATTGCTTCCAAGTCCTCACGTGCATCGTGTATCTTCACGTACGTGCACACGGCAACGTATAATATATGCCTGAAATACACCCCCCCCCTCCAAGTGCCCCCCCCCCGGTGNCTAGACTTCAGTGGGTTGGCGCTGTTGGCAAAGCGCTGTAAAACACGCCACCCCAAATATAGCCCCCATAGTATGCGCTACCAAAGACGCGTGACGCATGGATGCGTGGAGTGAGGATTACTTACGGAAACCTCACAGGTTGAGTGATGTGGGAGATTGCCAGACACATAGACGGGTTGCGTGGGGATAAATGCTGGAACCCCACGGGTTGGGTGATGTTGGAGTGCCGGACACATAGACGCGTTGAATGAGGATAGACATATATTGAACCTCACAGGTTATTTGTATTGGAGATTGCGAGACACCTAGACGTGTTGAGTGAGGATAGATGCATTATGAAACCTCACAGATGCATTGGTTTTTGCCAGACACATAGACGCGCTGAGTGGGGATAG